ATGAGTTCACATATCTCGGAATGACTTTTGACACGAAGCTTACGTGGAAAAGTCGCATTGCTAAAATAGCAGATCGAGTCTCCTATAGACTGAATGTCCTGAAGCGTCTTGCTGGTAGCGTATGGCGCTGTGCGCGCTCAACTCTAAACACCACTTACAAGATGTTCATTCAGCCAATAATGTTGTATTGCTGTGAGCCACTCATTACGAGCCACAGAGGTGATTCTCAAACCACTCGAGAAGGGCACAACCAAGCATTACGACTCATTACTGGAGGAATAAAATCAACACCCATTGATGCAATGCTTCTTATCAAAGAAAAGGCCTTGATCTTGTATGAGAAGCTACTGCGCATTCCCATAGATTGATCCTGTCTGAGAAGCTACTGCGCATTCCCATGGATAACTTCATCCTGTATGAGAAGCTACTGCGCATTCCCATGGACAAGGCGTATGAGAATCTACTGCGCATTCCCATGGATAAGTTCTTCAGCACCTATGAGAATAGACCAAGACACAAAACGCAATCTGGTCTAATACAGAAAGCCATAGAACTGATGAAAGCGTCACGCCGATGACAAACCAAAAAGCCTCTCTCTCCCCATGAAACATTAGCAGACACGTGTTCCCAACTGCTCGCTAAGCAGACAATGATATTTCAGGAAATCAAACACTCCTCCACGCTCACTGGCCCTTGAGACAATCAATGGCAGATCAATGACTCCAAGTCTTCACGACAATCAATGTCAACTATCCTGGAGATCAATGGCTCCAACCTTCAATGACTGGGTCATATATAGAAAACCAAGCAAACGTTGGTGCAGGTGTCTATTCTGAACGTCTCTTTCTACGCAGCAGCGGGACATAATAGATCCGCTTTGGAAGGAGAAATAGAAGCCACGGGACATAAGAATCGCTTTTGAAGGAGAAATAGAGGCCATTAGGATAGCACTATGCTAATTATGTTGCCTGGATACGAAATTCATCAAAACGGTGATACTTTCGTACTCATAGTCAGCAATAAACTCTATTGGTACTTTCGAACTCACAGTCAGCAATAAACTCAATTGGAAGTAGATTTCGAACTTACAGTCAGCAATAGACTCTATTGGAAGCAGAGATACTCACAGGCAACAATAAACTCAATTGGAAACAGAGAGCCCCCCAAAAGCTGAGATAAAGGAATGTAGAAAACTCTATCACCTGCTGTGTAACAGCTGAGATAAGGAATGTAGAAAACTCTATGAGCTGCTGAGACGAAAAACAAAACAGTGGTCCTACAATGGATTCCTTGTCACTGTGGCATTAAAGGCAATGAGCTTGCTGACACACTTGCTAAGAAGGGGACATTTGCAATGCATGGACCGCCCGATGTCTTTCCACACAATGGCTTAATCAGGAGAGAATTCCAGACCTCAAGGTTCAACGAACTCAAAGCTCGAACAAAAGAGAAACAGTGGACAGTGGCACTCTCCGACATAGCCGACTAGCCAAGAATCAGAAACAGTGGACAGTGGCACTCTTCGATATAGCAAAGGAGAAACAGTGGACAGTGGCACTCTCCGATATAGCCCCAAGGAGAAACAGTGGACAGTGGCACTCTCCGACATGCAACGAACTTAAAGTTCGAACAAAGGAAAAACAGTGGAGAGTGGCACTCTACCACATAGAGGAGAAATAGTGGACAGTGGCACTCTCCGACATACCCGGCGGGCCAAGAATCGAAGCCGTTGCTGAGTTCAGACTACGTACCGGACACGATTGCTTGACAAAACACCTTCACAGATAGGTACCGGACACGATTGCTTGGCAAAACGCCTTCACAGATTTTGAGTATATACTCAACCCACATGCCCTCTATTAACCTACGGAGGAAATGGAGAAGGCCCACCTGATTCGGTGTCCAGCCATAAAGACAACGAAGACCCACCTGATTCGGTGTCCAGCTCTAAAGACAAGCAAGAAAGCCAGAGATACTGGGAAGCAAGAAGACGGCTAATGACCTGCTATAATTAACTGCTATAATACCCCCCACCCTTGGGGGAAGCTGAAGTCAAAGTTTAAGAGAAGAAGACAGCTAATGAATTGCTGTTAATTAACTGCTATAAATGTAGACAGCTAATGAACTCCTATTAATTAACTGCTATAAATGTACGACAGCTAATGAACTGCTATTAATTAACTGCTATACATGTACCCCCCACCCATGGGGGAAGCCGAACGTCAAAGGATTAAAGGGCTAATGATACCTATCATAACGCCTGCCATTTGAAACAGGCAACGTTGGTGTGGTGTCTATTCTCTGAACTCTTCTCTTTCTACGCAGCAGTGGGACACAATAAATTCGCCTCTTCTCTTTCTACGCAGCAGCGGGACATAATAGGTCCGCGCTCTTTCTACGCAGCAGCGGGACATAATAGATCCGCTTTGGATCTACGCAGCAGCGGGACACAAGAAGTCGCTTTTGAAGGAGAAATAGAGGCCATTAGGATAGCACCATGACAATTATGTTGCCTGGATACGAAATTCACCAAAGCGGTGATACTTCTAGCAATAGACTCTATTGGAAACAGAGAGACACCCAAAACAGCTGAGATAAAGGAATGTAGAAAACTCTATGAGCTGCCAGAGAGAAAAACAAAACAGTGGTCCTTTAATGGATTCCTGGTCACTGTGGACAAAACAGTGGTCCTGCAATGGATTCCTGGTCACTGTGGGTGGCAATGAGATTGCTGACACACTTGCTAAGAAGGGGACAATGATTTTAGACCGGCCGATGTCTTTCCACACAATGAAGACCTTAATCAAAC